AGGTTTCTCTGAATATGCTTTCTTGGGACGTGCTTTCCTGGAATGTGTTGGGTGTGCCATGTGGTTGGATCCAGTTTTTATCGCCAAGGCTGAACCCTGAGCAAAAAACGTTAAGTCAGCTAATCTTGCAGCTACAGCTTCACCTTTGGGGCCCAGTCAGTTCCACAATTAATACGAACAGCTAGTTTTATCATTTTGGTTAAAGTTATGACAGAAAAGTTACATTTGTGGGTTACAAACTTACAAGCTTTATATTAGCTAATATTGCCTGTTAGGCAAAATACCAAATGCCTCCAAGAAGCACATATTTATTGCTTATCAATCCCTCTGATTCTGGCTGTCACACCTCTTTGAAGAGGTTAGTACTGTTTATGATGCTAACTTTGTCATAGTCCTTGTGTTGAGGGCAAAATTCTGCAGAAGTGTCCTGCTCTTGTGCGTGTTGCAGGGAGGGAGAATGGGCCAGCTCTTTGTTCCATTTCCCTGTCTTTGGTATATGGATTCATTCACTAATTTTGCTCTTTTAATGAATTATTTTTAATTCCTCTTTGCAATCTAGTAATACAGCCTCATATAGTGCCTTCATTGTAATCCCCAGTATTTGTTAGTTTCAAACCACTGCCCGGTGTAAATGTATGGTGGTCTCTTCTCAATAAAGAAGATAAAGTGTACAGCAGCAATTCTTAACCAGGGTGCCCTGGGGTTCTTTCAGGGATGTTGCACAGTGCCATGCTTTGTGAACACTGCTAGGTATGCAAATGTGATTCACAAGATAAAGATCTGAAACAGGAATCCATAATGCTGAAAGCATCTGTCCTGTTGTGGTCTTTCTAATTTTTTTGCAGTGGAAGAATTGCTCTACTAGTTTTCTGTAGTTGAAAATAAAGTGAAAACGAAGAGCTGACATTTTCTTCGGGGTGTCTTTAGTCTATCAAGGAGTGGGTGCCTTTAGTCTAAAAAGGTTGAGAAATACTGGTCTAGAACATCTAAAGAATATATGGGGGAAGATTTTTGGGTGGAATCACCAGCAAGCAATGTTGTAGATGCTCTCTTCAATTACCAGACAACATAGTACATTTGATGGTACATTTTGTTTCTTTATCTTAACTGAGGCCATGCTTTGGTCACTATTGAAGAAATTAGTGGCTAATAGTAGATGAAATCTCAGCTCTGGTGAATTTAATGACAAAACTGCCTTTTACTTCACTAGAGTCAGGGTTTTATCAAGTATATGTAATAAATAAATCCATATACAAATAGTACCACAGGTACTATAACTCTTAACATATTAGGTTTCAGGTTTGGCTTGTTTTGTCCTTATCTGTGAGGAATATTTGGTATAAAGCCAGGGAATATCCAAAAACATTAAAAAAGCTTGTCCTGTTCCCTGCAAAATTTGGTATTTATGGTGTACTTTTTTTTGGTTTTACATAAAAATATACTGATTATGTCTGATGATGACAGACATCATTTTTCTAATGTATCGCCTAATATAGGAGAAGCAATTTCTGATGGATGAAGGACTATCCTTTAACCAAATACTTTACAGACCTCCTTTATTTTTCACTGAAAAATAAAGAAAAAGTACAACACAACTCCTCCACAAATCACCTTTAAAAATTCAAGGTTGATACATTTATAGAAGAAGAGCAAATCTGAAGGACCAGATTGATAATCTCATCTCTCTATTTTTGGTAACTAAAGTAAAAATATAAAAGGCAGGTGGGAAAGATAGTGTATTTATATTACTGATGTACCATCAGGATCTATTTGAACTTCTTTTTGGAAATTTGTAAAGTTTTTTCCCTTTCATCAGCTATACATAATTTCTTTGAAAGTCACCACAAAGACATGCGGTTGTTGAACATCTTTTCATGTAAAATAAATGAGCCTTCCTAAAATGTAACCTTCCTAAAATGAGCCTTCCTAAAATGTAACCTGTTCCTCCTGTAAATCTGTCCTGATGCTTCAATGAGGAAAGTTCAAGACCACCAAGTTCCCGTGTGTGTGCGTGTGTGAGACTTAGTTCCTCATATAGGATACAAATACTACTAATGTGTGGATCCTGTATACATGGGGATCCTTCAGTGGGTAAATTCCAGCTGCAAAAGGGGGTTGGACTAGACCGGGGCGGGCAATTATTTTGGGTGGAGGGCCACTTCCTAAGTTTTGGCAAGCCATCGAGGGCTGCATGATAGGCAGCCAGGGGCAGATAAATATTAATTTTCTAAATTTTTTAGGGGCCCTGTGGGCTAGATAGAATAGCCCCTCTGGGCTGCATTTTGCCCACCCCTGGACTAGACGACCTCTGGAGGTCCTTGCAGCCCTACTGCTCTGTGATCTTATGACCAGTTAAAGCACTTAGGGCATATTCTTCCAAGCAGTCAGCCTCGTGCTCTTCAATGTTTGAGCTCTACATTTTTTAGAGAAATTGGCTAGCCCCGAGGACCGCAATCATAGCCAAAGGTGGGGCATCCACCTGCTCACAAGAGTGGAAGGAGGATGGTGGTTTGGGGGGAAGGGGGTGGCAGCCTGCAGGTTTGTGCCTGGCCAGGACTAGCCTAATTTAAAATATATCTCCACATGGGTGGAAGTAAAGGCGCTCCCTAGCTCTGCCCTGATAGGGACCATCCGGGGTTAGGCTTGAGCCCGGCTGGAGCAGGGCAGCCCGGGGAGCCCTCCCTCCGCCTTGGTCTCCGGGCCCAGGGCAGGCGGGGAGGCCGCCGGGCAGCGGCTCTACGGAGCATGCTCGTGGCGCTGGAGCAGGCTCAGTGCCCGCCGGGAGCCGGGGTGGGTGGGGGCTCGGGCACGGGAGACATGGCGCTGGCCGGGGATGGAGAGGGGCCGCAGCCCGAGCCCGAGCCCGAGCCCGAGCCCACGCTGGTGCTGTACCACTGGACCCAGTCCTTCTCCTCGCAGAAGGTGAGCGGCGCCGGCTGCTGCT